TGAGCTAGGCTGACACCATGGCACTCTAGCCCAGGCAAGAGAGTGAGACTCTATCTCAAAAAAAAACAAAAAAACAAAAAAACATAGCATGATACCTTCATCACACCTACAATAATTAACAGTAATTCCTTACTATTATCAAATATCTAGGGGTCAGCCTTTAAAAGATAGCCCAGATGACCAATTATATCATAATTTGATTATTCTGTGTATTGACATATCCAGATACCTTTACATGTTCTTATTGCCTTAAATTGGCCAATTCGGTTTTTCATAAAATTATATTAATAGTTTCTGCTGTTTTACAGGGTAAGCCACATCAAAGACTTCATTGAACAGTACCAAGGATCTCAAAGAAGTCCTCCCTTTTCCCTGGCAACAGCTCTTCCTTTCCTCAAATTGCTAGATGAAACACTCACACTGGAAGAAGCAGATTTACAGAATGCTGTAATCATTCAGAGACTCCAAAAAACTGCTGAACCTTTTATAAAACTTTCAGAGCATTGATTTTTGATAGACTAAGTGGAAAATTTGCAGAGAAAAGATGGTTGTAAGTGGGCAAACCAAAATGGGGGACAGAAAAAGTCAGATTTGCTGGACTTTTGGTTAACCTACTGTTTAACTCTCCAGATGAGAAGACTTTTAAGTAAGTACAGGTTAGGAAAGTAACATATGACTGGAAAATATATTCAGTGTACTTTTTCCAAAAGGCTACTCAAAAGAAAAATATACTTATTTTCAAATACCAAGTAATCAACATAAGATATATTAAATAGGTGTACAATTTACAGTCTAAATATCATATAAATTAGCAAATATGTTCACAGCATCTGTCATTCAAACATCATTCCCAAACAGCAGGGATTTATTTAAATGTTAGCTGCCTCAGCATTTTTAAATGACACAATACATTAAAAAATTATAAGTGGCAGGTTAAAAAGCATCAATGTAATTATTTTAAAACTTATATATGATCAAAAGGTTAGAGAGACCTGGTTTTACCACAGCTATGCCTAACTTTCACAGTGTTCTTGGTTTTCATTCCGTATTGGCAAGATATACCCAAACATTAATTTGGCAACAGTATCGAAGATGTATTTTCATTTAAGAATAAAATTGTGTGGGCTGGGCGCGGTGGCTCACGCCCGTAATCCTAGCACTCTGGGAGGCCGAGGCGGGCGGATTGTTTGAGCTCAGGAGTTTGAGACCAGCCTGAGCAAGAGCGAGACCCCATCTCTACTAAAATTAGAAAGAAATTATCGGCCAACTAAAAATATATAGAAAAAATTAGCCAGGCATGGTGGCGCATGTCTGTAGTCCCAGCTACTCGGGAGGCTGAGGCAGAAGGATCACTTGAGCCCAGGAGTCTGAGGTTGCTGTGAGCTAGGCTGACTCCACGGCACTCACTCTAGCCAGGGCAACACAGTGAGACTCTGTCTCAAAAAAAAAAAAAAAATGAATAAAATTGTGTAGTTTAGTACAATGGCAATATTAATCTGCCTACTCAAATTTCTACCCTTTCTAAAAATGTAAACTTTTTAAAAATTACATTCTACTACGAACCCTAGTTCATTGCCTTTTATTTTCTTTGAAAAGTTGGGGATTTGTCTTTAGCTAATATTTGGGATGAGCCATTCATTTGCCACCACTCACTTAGAATCTAATGCCTGTTTGTTACATTACTAATTAATGAATATTTTTTAAATGTGTCACATGAAGTATAGTTTTATATTTCAGACATCAGAGTCAACCTTTGTACACATTAGAGCAGCCATCCCCAACCGTTTTGGCACCAGGGACCGGTTTCATGGAAGACAGTTTCTCCATGGACGGGGATGGGTAGAACGGGGTGTGGCATCAGTCAATGATGTGCAGCCCATTTCCTAACAAGCCACAGCCTAGGGGTTGGGGACCGCCGCATTAAAGGATTATTTATTACATTTTGATGTCACCAAGGAAAACATGCTTTGTATCTTAGACTTCTAACTCAAACAAGTTAGACTTTAATGTTTCACTGTCAAATTAAATCCCCTTGCCTGGAAATAAGTTTAAGAAGCTTTTTTGCAAAGGATCTATTCAATCAGGTTTAAAGTAAAGTATACATTGAGTGTGCCAAGTCCCACAACAGCAGTAATGTTCATAGGGTGCTAGTTGTATGCTATAAAGCAGCAGTTCTCAAACCTTTTGGTCTCAAGACCTTTTGTTTATGTGGGTGATATATGTATATACACACACATTAAAATTTAAAATATCATTTAAATATATAACTTCCAAAACACAAAGAGATTTAGTGAGAAGAGTGGCATTGTTTTCCATTTTTTGAAAATATCTTACTTTCTGACTTGAAGTCAGATGGATTCTCCTATCTGCTTCTACATTCACTCTGTTGCGATATTACACATCATGTAACCTGTGGAGAATACTACTGTATACTCATGAAAGAATGAATAAGCAAATAACACCTTAGTGTGATTATGAGAAAAGGTTTAACTTTGAAGAGTCCCTGAAGGGATCTCAGGGACCCACCCCCAGGGGTCTCTTGCCCACACTTTGAGAACCAGTCTTAAAAAGCGATGGTTCGCAATGATTCTCAAGCCTTAGTGTAAGAATCACTTGGGAAGCTTTAAAAAATGCCTATTCCTGCCACCTACCACAAACGTTGTATCTGGGATGGGTGCTGGATCTGCATTTTTAATCTCAAGTGATTCCCAGGAATGCCGTAGAAGTACCATTCTTCAGGAAATCCTGTGTGACGCTGTTGTCCTTGTCCCCCCTAGTTTGCTCCTAGAGAGGCTTCTGCCTATTAATGCTGAACTAATCGTGACATAAGCCTGTGCTTTATAGCACAGCTGAGACAAAGCTGGAACATTTAATTAAGGTTTTTACTAAAGTCTCAGGAATAACAAGGGAAATATGTACATAACTAGATGACCTATCTTTTGTTGGTGGTCTGTTTTCCTTGGTCCCAGCCATCCATGTGTTAGAGGTCTGTGTTTTTATTAGAAAGAGAGGAAGGACACAGGGGAGCCTTTTCCTTTTGTCCTTTATTCTCAGAAACAAACAGGTACATAATTTGAAAATAAATATTTATTGTCGGTAATGTTTACAAATGAGATGGTAAAATCAACTTACTTTCAGATATGAAAAGTAACTTATGATAGTTAATATGTTTAAGAATGTTTAAGAAAATGTTTCATATAGGCCTATCATGTAGCATTTTCATTTACATAATTATAATATATGATTTTCTGTGTATTTCTATAAGGGACCTCTCACTGGGAATGTTTCTTGTATACCTACAGAAAAGCCTCCACACTGGGTGCGGTAGCTAACCCTTGTAATCCCAGCACTTTGGGAGGACAAGGCCAGAGGATCACTTGAGGACACGAGTTTAAGACCAGCCTAAACAACATAGCGAGATCCCAGCTCTACAAAAAAAAATTTTCAATTAACTGGGTGGGGTGGCATGCACCTGTGTCCCAGCTACTCAGGAGGCTGCACTCCAGTCTGGGCAACAGAGCGAGACCTTGTCTCAAAAAAAGAAAAAAAGAAAAAAGCCTCCTTGGTGGATTTTCCAGTTTTTAATTATTTAACCAGTGGAGGATCTCTTGTGTATACATGTCAGACACACCCCAGTGAGAGGTTCCTATCGAGAAAGACCTGTCATCAGCAATAACCTTCATTTTTGTAACTCTGAAAATTTTTGTTAATGTGAATGATATTCTCAAAGTTTTCTAAATGGGAATCGTCGATAAAGCTTTTTACCTGAAAGTTGAAAAGTTGCAAAGTTGTTAGTTAAATGTGTAAAATTCTCAAAACAGGTTGACTTTGGAAAACAAACTGAAATCGCTAAGGGAAGGAAAACTTGAAAAATTAAGCATGTTAGCTATAGAATATAATTTGATCTAAGCAGTTGTTCCCAAACTGTCTTCTGTCAGTTTCTTGAAAATAATTGCTAGGGCTGATGTATGGAAATATGTTTCTAATTTTATGGATTCTGATGTATTGGTGAAATTACTATGCATTTTCCAGGTTAAAAAATAATCTTAAATACTTCTCTCATTCAGTATAACTTCATGATGTTTCATTGTGTTGATAATATGTATGCATCTATTTCGGTGCCTTAAACTATTTGGAAGGCAATCTTTTGCTAATGGTTAAAGAACTGTTGTTCTCTTAAGGATGAAATACTGTTCGTTAAAAGGATCTGTGAAATAATTTACACTTGTTATAGAATAGTTACATGTGGATGCGTTTGTTATTTTTGTCAAAGTCATTCAGTTTGAGAATCAACAAACATTTATTAGGTGCCTTGACTTTAACCAGCATTACTTTCATTTAATACTCAGAAATGTAAAAATGTGATATTTAAAATACTAACTCAATGCTTTTATTTTTTAAACCATCTCGTGTGTCATGAATTGAACTAGCATGAAGACTCTTTAGTAGGGTTTACTCCTTTGTTCTTTATCTTCCTAAGTACAAACCATTTAATTAAAAAATTGCTAATCACACTAAATCCTCAAATAGAATTCATTTATTCCATAGACTAATATTTGGCTCT